TTTAGACAAATTCTTCATAATAGAATCGCTTTTAGAGTGTTCGTTTATTCTTATTTTTGTTTGAATATAATTAGTTGCAATTAAACATTTTTCATCTAAATTAAAATAAATGTAATGAAATATATATGCTTAAATAAAAAATTTTAATATCCTTTTATTTCTTTTTATGAATTTTATATCTCATTACTATTCAATTCTCATATAATTAACAGATTGACAGTCAAATGTTGATTTAGCAGTAATACATCTATGCCAAATATATATGATTGTTACGAGATCAGAACAAAAAAATCTTTAGATTTAATTATACACAATAATTGCACGTAATTAATTTTGGTGGATTAAAAATAGTTCTACATACTGTCTCTACTACTCAAGAATTTCTTTGAATATATCTGGAATAAATTATTCAGAAAATTAATAGTTAATATTATATTAATAATTAATATTATATAATTAATAATATTATATTAATAATAAATAATAGTACATTAATAAATTGTTTTATTATATTGATAGCTTCTCGTATAAATGTATTAATTTAATTTTCTCTGGTTTGTTAACATGACAATTACATTATTTTTATATTATTATACATTATAATTATAATACATTACATTATAATTATTTTATTATAATTTTTATTTTAAAAGAACTTTTAACCTGAAAAAGACTTAGTGTAGCCGAAACGTTCAAATATTTAAATTTATTTGTCAAATCACATTATTTAGATTTGTGTTTATAAACATTTTTTTTGTATTAATGATACAAGTTTTGTTCACTCTATTAATCATCTTATTTCTTCGTTTTTTTGTTTTATATAGAAAAACCGTTCATTTATTTTCTGTTATTATAATACATTATTGGTTTTATGATTCAACAAGTCCGATAAGAAAAATTTGAAATAGAAAACATAATAAAATGAATAGAAAAATATATTTATTTTAAAATAAACATATTTGTTTCTCGGATATTTTTCAAGCTTTAAATGTTTGCTTTAAATGTTTGTTTATTATTAACAAGAACGTTATATCTATCGATCTTCAGTGCGAGCTTCAGTTGCCAGTCGTTTAGTTGCCTTATCCGTCAGAGAGTGCCTAGAAGATAATTGAATTCAATTTATTTTATTTAATTCTTATCGAAAGACGATTTTTCATATTCTGGTTAGTATCTTTATTTCTATTTGTTATATATTATGGGCTAAGGATATTTTAGCAACTTTTCAGCAATTATAAAAATATTGTGATACAAATGTGAAATATTTTGAATAAATTTAACGATTATTAACAAAATAGTTTCTATTTAATTTAATTAAATAATATGAGATACTTTCTCATGCGTGATCTCAAATACGCGAAAAAAAGTAATTGTGTCAATGTGTTGTATGTAACACCAACTGATAGTATCCTTATTAAATAGCAATATCAATAAAATAAATACGTATATATTCCTTTCATTAATACTATTATTGAATTAAGATTATATTTTCAAGAGTATACTTTCAATTGCATTTAATATACGTCTTTTTGTTTTTATTAAAAATCATATATTATAAAATCAATATCACACAAACGAAATTGCATTTTCTTACTGTATTGCCTTCCTTATGTACAATGTGACATAATACACATATTTAAAATTTCTAATAATCTATCTTTTGATTGTTTTTCTGTTAAATCATCATAACAGAAGTGATGGCTGAAGCAGTGGTAGACGAGACAGAACCAATGCGAGCGTGGTTTCGAGATAGCGTGCAAAGTGTTATAAATAGAAAGAGACAAGGAAACTACCCCGACACGTTTCATGATTGGCGTTCGTATCTACGTATCAAAGGAATAGAAATCTCATCTGCGAGAATGAATCATTTTCGCCGCACAGCAAGAATGAGAAACGCCATAACAGAATATATGACTAATCCGGAAGATATCTCGAATATTTGTACAGGATCTAAGATTGATTCTACTCTACTGCATCAAGAAACAGAACGTTATCGTCGTCAAACTGAACGTATGAATTATCCATATGAACTCTTCATTCCTGGAGACATATTTTCGTATGAAGAAGGATTAGCGTTGGTGCATATCCTGACATCAGTTCCCCCACAAAATTGCAGATGCCTAGATTGCTCGATGAGGCGGCTACCGATTTTGGCTTATGAAATGGCCCGAATCATCAGTGAAATAAAAGGAGTACAATATCCGCCCACTTGGGATTTAAGTCGCCAAGCGGGACCAGAATGGTCCCAAAAATTTCAACAAGAGAACCGTCATGAACTAAACTATTTACGATTTCCGTGCTTGAAACCTATCGATCTGTTTGAAATGCACGATGTTCCAAGTACTTCCAGGGATCCGTAGGCATGAAGGAATGATCTGTGAATTTGAAGATTTTATTCTCGACGGATTAAAAGAAAACTGTAAACGAATAGACATCTATCATTCTCAAAAATAAGGATAGAAATAGGTATAATAATTAAAATCAAGCAACATTAGAGAGAATTACGCTCATCATTTTATCTCAATTCTACTTCAATTTTAAAATACATTTAAAGCAAGATCGAGAATTTGTACAAACGTTTTCTTTAAAATTGATGTATATTGATATTCTATTATCAATTTTCCTGTTTATTTCGTAGTTATATTTTCGTAACGTAATTATAATTTTGCGGATACTTTCAGAGACGAGATTAATCTGAAATAGTTGGAAATTTCTCACGTATTCATATATGTACTATATATAATTAAAATATACGTACAAAGTATTTGTTTTATATACATATTATGACAAATATGTGCGTATTTTTAATAACTGATATGAAATATATGATTTCAACATTTGTTTAGATTAACGATAACAAACAGGGTTGAAACACGTAAAAAATTTCTGACAATGTCAGATTAGATCTTGTTTGTAAGGTCGACCATAATATATCTTTTCTCATAAATTATGAAAAGGTATATTACGAAAATTAAGAAAGACAATAGGCAGGCAAAATATCAATAATGTATCAATTCCAAACTCGAAAATACAAATCTTGGTCAGTATTAATTTAATGTACATATAAATAATGTTGACTTATAATATGAAATAGGATATTGAAAATAGTGACTTTTAACGAATTATTTGGTATAATGTTAAATATTTTTTTCAAATTCCGGATAATACTAATAATAGTGCAACTGTAATTTAAAAGGAGCAATATTTAATTATAAACAATAGGAAGATAATAGTGACGATAATGTTTTATGGAATGATTAAAATAATATTATTAATCAACGACTACTTTTAAGTGCATATTGATCCTACCGTATTAGAAGTTTTGACTAATTATTTAATAAAATATGTAATATCATACATTGTTTGCCAAATGTATTGTGTTAAAATTTCTTGCGTATGAGCCTATATACATAAAATAATATACATAAATAATATTTTAAATAACGACGTCTTTTCAGTCCGGAAAATAAACTATGTTAATTTTGGCAATAAATTTTTTATCCGGCAAGATTTAATGTACTAATGTTATATTTCTTTTCTATTTGTCCTTATTATTATTACTGTCAAATAGCGTTCTAGAATTTCTGAAGTAAAAATTTGGTTATCATGAATAACGATTGATACGTCATTATCGATAAATTAGGTAATGAAATATTATAATTCAAATCATAAATAAAAAATTGAAATATTATAAATATAATTATTTAGAATTAGATATTAACTATAAATAGGTGTGGATATTGAAACCATTGCATTTTTCAAAAGCATTTAAGTTAATGTAGTTTATTAAACATCAAAAATCATTTTTAGTTAAAACAAAGTGATTTTAATGTAATAATTTCTATCGAAATACGTATGTTATGTTGAATTAAATTCATTGTAACTTGTTCGAAAAGCTTTATAATTGGCATTGACGCTCTGCAAATGGTAAACTTGAAATTGCCGCTATCTCGTGATGAAATCCGTAAATTAGCTTCGAGAAAATTCTGATCATTGCTGCGCTATTTCGCGGTGTAATCTGTGAACTAAACTCGTCCGATAAACGTGGAATTATAGGTGTCTTTACGAGACTAGTTCTGTCAAGCTGTCGCGATAACAAGCCTTTTCGAATTTTTCTGCTTTTCGTCTCTCCTCCATTTAGCATCATGATTTGAGGTACATTTTAAGAGTATAATACAGGCCAACTTTTGGAATCTTATGATCACATCAATCAGGATAAGTTACAGGGAGATTATTTTGTGCAAAATCATCGTGGACGATCTCTCACTTGGATATTTTTTTCGTAATGTCTTTCAAGCTAGTACGATTATTAGCTTTAATTTATCACAGAGAATTTTTATAATAACTCCACGTATAGTGGAGCTCGGACACGAGTTACAGAAGTTACGTCTGAATTCCTAAAAGTTTAATGAAAAATTCTTATTATCATTTCTCGTGCCGTGCAATTGTGAGCAACAATTGTCTTGTTCGTATTGATTTTGTAATTGCTCTCTTCATATTAGTCTATCATGGGATCTGTCCTTTTAGCTGCACTAACAATAAATTACTACATTGAATCTTTATCTTTCGTAAATTAAAATGTTGAAGAAAATGGAAAAATTGAATGTGAGTAGAAAAATTGTACATTAATAAAAACAAAACGCAAGATAGTAATGATTTAAATAAATTTTACAAGTTTTATTCATATATATGATAAAAATGTATATATTTGTAGAATATAACAATAATTCAATATATGTGCATATATTTGTACTTAAATTATTAAAAAGATTACTTTGCTGAATAAGCTTATCGATGCATTAATTATCATAATTCATTCTTTTTCTTTTCAGCCAATATGTATAAAAAATGTCTTATTTGCCATGACAGCCAACAACAGAGGTGCGCACGATGGACATAGACATAGTAATGATCGAGACAGATCCCAGTCACCATATATCAACAATTAAAGTTGCACAATCGGGCATGAAGAGTATAACGAAAGGAGAGTGACACGTCTCATTGTTGAGTGCATTTTTTCAAATTGTTTTCAAACATTTCGCGTTAACGTCACATGGCACAAAACGATGATTTAACAAATCATACAGTCATCGATGATATCAATCAGTAACGCTGAACAAATGATTAGAAATTCTATTGTGACACGAAATATATTTTTTACAATATTAAATATTCAACTAGATTTCAATAAACTTATAGAACAGAAGACATGAGCCTTAACTGTTGGCATAACAAATTTGTTTAAAAAGATCAATTGGGCCAAAAATCATGGAAAAATCACCGACGAAAATCAGATCATTGTTTTAAAACCCAATGGATCATTGAAATCAATTATCAATTATCATTTTAATAACATCTTGATGCAACAGGTAACGAAATCACATCTTTTGCCATCAATATCAGAGTTGAAATTAAAATTATTGTTTTATATATATATATATATTATATATATATATGTAATGTGTACTTTAGGAATGACGACATAAATCTTAACATTGACATCAGCCTGCGTCTCTGACAGATGTTGTTACATGAAATAGGACTGTGAAGTAGAGTTATAATAGAGAAATAGAGCTGGATAGTGTCGCAGCTGCTATTTTAACTATCAAGTCGCAATTATAGCGATTGTTGGATAATCATAATATTTAAAATACGCTATCCGAATTGGCAAACGGATTGCAGACAGGTGGTAGCAAGTCACGAAAGAATATTAAAACAAGGTATATCTACATTGCTATCAAAGTGGAGTACAATTTTCGATATCTAACGCTAAGGTAAGCAATTATTATCCACCTGTTATTATCAATTTATCAAGGATTTTTTAAAAATTCGAGAAATAAGTGCTTAAAAAATAATCTTAAATATATTAAGACTATATCTATTTCTTTTTAATATTAAACATATATCTTCCTAATATTAAACAATATTATTCATTTATTTATTATTAGTTTATTATGGATTTGTAAGAGATAATTGCGTGGAAGAAATGTTGAAGTGTTAAGTTTATCTTTATATCTTGTATGTATTAGTAATGAAAAATCTTATTATTTTAATATTTTTTAACCAAATTCAAAAAAGTATATGAGGTTTTATAAATTCCAGTGGGACATTATGAAATTAATTATAAACTGTGTATTTGCCGTTAATGATATGATATGTCTACGTTTAAAACAATTACCTAATCAGCCCATTTTCTCTATTCTTCGGTAAGATTATTCTTTTTTTATTTTAAATATATATAAATTTATTTATTTTAAATATATAAAAATGACAAGTTGTATTTATCATATTTATTTGCAGTTTCAACTCGAATTGATGATTTGTTGAGTGATTGCAATTCGATTATAGATCGAGAATCATCCTGCCTTCCAAACTTGAACGTTCTCATGGAGAATGGAATATTGCAGCCGATTATGTCGGTGCATTCCGTTCTTGGCACAGTGTTGAATACATTGTATAATAATTTTTGTGTGTCAGAAATTCGTACAATATTCGAATTTTCGTTCTTCCTACTTACATGATCTGGAAACAACTGAATGGAATTTGAAAAGATCCTGGTACAGTAGGACGGAGTTATATCTTTTGACAGCGGTAGTAAAAGCGACGCCTCTTCTTGGATATACAATCAATAATCAGACGGCACAAATTGTGTGGAAAATCACCATTAAGCTTCTCGACGTTATCTGCGGATGCTACGGACCATGTGAGAAAGCTTTTTCAAATCGCGTTGTCGAGCGAGAAACTGAACTTAGAGATTATCACTAATGACTTGACAAAAATAAATCTAGCATCCACGATGGATCAGATTCAAATAGGTTTGCAATCCTGCTTGCTTTATGAGAGATACATCACACCAAACGGCGACTGGGACCAGACAGCGATGCCGAAGGTCTGGCTTTTCCTGCCGCTGGTTCACATATATACAAATTGCAAAAATGATGTTAAGTTACAGCTGGAAGATAAAAATAGTATCTTAACGGTTCTGAGTCTAGCACTGATTTT